CTGATGCTCGTACAGCACCCTCCCAAGGGCAACGCGATGGCGTGGCGGAGGGACGGCTCCAAAATGGAGATGGAGGGTGCGACGGGGGGTGGGGGGTGGGACGGGGCCGGGGGAGGGGGGAGAGGCATTGGAAAGGGGTTTTCAAATTTCGGGTGGGGTAGCACTTGGGGGGGAAAAGTTGCACAAGCGCGTGTGTGTGTGTGTGCGTGAGAGAGAGTATATGTCATATATTTTGTGACAATGTTGGCTTTCGTCCTGCTCTCGACGTTTCTCGTGTCGGTGTGTATGTGTATGTGTCTTTGTCGTACCGGTGCGCGCAGGTACGTGGTACGGTCCAGACGAGGGACCTGACAGACGACGGATTCCGTCCGTGGTGACCCATGGGTCACAGGCTGCTACGGTTCGTTATCATCAGAACGACGGCTACTACGCCGGTTTGGGTGGCGTAGCCGGTGGGGGCTACTCCGGATTCGAACCGGAGACTCCACCAGTGGAACCCCACCACCCAACGATCGATTCCGGCAGCTTTAGTGACGGCGTTTTCACGGATGTGGACTTGGGAGGGCCTCCTCTTGCAGGAGGGCCCGTTCTCGGTCGCTTCGGGTCGTGTGTTGATGATGCTGGCGTTCATGCTTCTTCGCCGGGTGGCGGCGGAACTGGCATGGAAGGGGTTCCGGACAATTTCGACATTGACGATGTGCTGATGATGACCAACGACCCACGGGACGGTGGCGGCGCCGAAGCCCCGCGGCGCGTGACGACGGCGACCGCGGCGGCGGCGCCGTCGGCGGAGTCGTGGCCATCATCCGTCGGGAATCGATCTGGCAACGCGCCGACCTGGCGGTTACAGGTGTGGATTTGTGTGCTTTTACTTTTTGTGTGTCGTACACAACTGTGCATGTACGGTACTTGTTCAGCCGTTCCGTTCGTGTCCGTGAGGACGACCACACAGATGCGAGTGAAGGTTGGGGAAACTGGCCGACAGGCATGAAGAAAAACAGGCTAAAACAGGATCTTGGGAGATCAGAGCACGCACAGGAAATTAGCTAGCCGCCGGTCGAGGCACGAAGCGAATCCGGATCGATCGGCGTTTTCAACGCGACTGCGTTTTTCACTTTTCTCATTTCCTCCTCCTCTGCCGCCGCCCCCGCCGCCGCCGCTGTCGCCCTGTCTCCTGCCCTTTTTCAGGAAGACTATGTGCGCGTGCCTCGCAAATCGGAGGAGGATGGAGCCGGCGGCGCCGCCGCCGCTGGCACTGGCACTGGCGCGGCAGTCAGTGGCGGCAACGGCATCGCCGCCGCTGCCGCCGGCGGCGGCGGCGGCGGCCCCGAAGGGCTGGGAGCTGGTGGCGGCGGCGCCGCCGCGGCTGGCGGCGCCGGCAGTGGGGTGGATCAGCCGCCGCCGGTGTCGAGGATTACTTTCAAGGACTTGTCAGGTGAGTAGCTTGCGGTGGTGATGGGATGAGGGAAGTGGTGGGCCTGTCTTTCTTCTTGAAATGTCGGGGGGGGTTTTGATCGTGGATTGCTTTCGACCACCCGCTCAATGACCTCCTGCTCAGTGTTTTTTTTATGACACGCATATATACGCATGCTAATTACATCACGGCTGCCGTACCACGCGCGTGCTCAGGCATCTGGGTCATGCACACAACACGTTCCGGCAGCGCCGCGGCTGCAGCAGCGCCCGCGACGGCGGCCGGTGCCGCCAGCGGCGGCGGCGGGGGCAGTAGCAGTAACGGTCCCCAGGAAGGTCGCGTCGAGCTGGTGATTGAGGGTTTAGGGCTTGTGTTGGAGAGCTATGGGCCGGGGGGTTACCTCGCCCGCCACATGAAGCTTGCCGTACACGATCTAGAGATCCGGGATTGCGTGCTGGAGGTGAAGCAGCAGCAGCAGCGGGCCGCAGCGGCGGCGGCTGCGGCTGGGGTTCGGCCGCTGCGGCCGCTCGCAGCTGTCGCCGCCGCCGCCGCCGCCGCCAGCAGCGCTGCCGCCGCCGCCGCCAGCAGTGCCGCCAGCGGCGCCACCGGCGTGGGCGGTATCGGCGGCGGCGCTGCTGCCGGTCGCGGTGGCGGCGCCGCTGGCGGCGGCGGCTGGGTACGGGTGCTGGGCTACCGGGCGGTTCGCGGTCGGCCGAGGGACAGCAGGGCGCCCCTGGTGGCGCTGACGTTGACGGCTGTACGACCAAACCCAGCGGCGTGTGACCCACGGGACGAGGAATTTAGGCTAGCTGTGGCGCTACTGCCGCTAAGGTGAGATTCTGCTGCTCCGAAACCCGCATTCGGGGGAATACTGTTACACCCCCACCTCCTGGGAAGGGCGTTTTGAGCTCCTTCGGCAGTTTGCGGCTTTGGACAATCGGTCGTCGCCAGTTGATTTTCCTTTGCTGCTTTACACATATATCTATCTGCTCTATTGCAGCTGCTGCTACTGCTCTTCCTGCTGCTGCAACTGCTTTTCCTGCTGTTGCTACTGCTATTGCTGCTGCTACTGCTATTGCTGCTGCTGCTCGGTCCATAATTGCGGTCCATCAGCTTGACCGCTCACTTCACTTCACTTAGGGTTCCTATTGCGCGTTTCGTATATATCTTCCTGCAGACTGAAGCTGACCCAAGACATTATGTCGTACCTGGCGTGGTACGGCACGTCGGTCTCCACGGCGCTGAAGCCGGCGGCTGCCGTACTAACCAACATGCAGGTGACTCGCGCGAAGTCCCAGTCTCAGAGTGCCAGAAAGGACAAAACTGTGTTTTGGTGTTTTATCGCCAAGGAGAGAAGTTCGGCGAGTGCGGGTTACGAAATGAGTTTGGGTGCGGAATGTGGGGCAACAGCTTCCTCCTCGCTCCCCCCTCCGTGTTTAGCCAGTTTGTGGTTTTGACGCGCCGGCGCTTTGTCTTATGCATCGCTATGTTCCCCCTCCCCCTCCCCTTTTTCCACCGCATCCTTCCCCCCTCCTCGCCTTCCGTACTGCCCGCCGTACTTCCCCCTCCCTCTCTCCTCCTCCCGCTTTCCTTGCATCTCTTTCTTACCCTTTTCCCCCCCCA